GGCGGCAGCAATGGCGGCAGGTTGTGGCGCTGCTGGGCGAGATTGTGGCAGCGAAGCTGGAGCCCAACATCATCACCTACGGCACTGCGAAGAGCGCGTGCGTGAAGAGCAGGCGTCAGCAGTGGCAGCAGGATGTGGCGCTGCTGGTCGAGGCCCCTGTCGTGAAGCTGAAGCCCACGTTCATCAACTCTGGCACGGTGAACAGCGCATGCGAGAAGAGCAGGCGTCGGCAGTGGCAGCAGGCAGCGCCGATGCTGGGCGAGATTGCGGCCGCGAAGCTGGAGCCCACCATCTTCAGCAACGGCGCTGTGAAGAGCGCGTGCGAGAAGAGCAGGCGGCAGCAGTGGCAGCAGGTTGAGGCGCTGCTGGGCGAGATTGTGGCAGCGAAGCTGGAGCCCAACATCAGCTCCAGCATCATCACCTACGGCACTGCGAAGAGCGCGTGTGTGAAGAGCAGGCGTCAGCAGTGGCAGCAGGATGTGGCGCTGCTGGGCGAGATTGCGGCCGTGAAGCTGGAGCCCAACATCATCACGTACGTCACTGTGAACAGCGCGTGCGAGAAGAGCAGTCGTCGGCAGTGGATGCAGACTGTGGCGCTGCTGAGCGAGATGGCGGTCTTGCAGCTGAAGCCCAACATCATCACCCACCACATTAGGAACAGCTGGTGCGAGAAAGGCGGGCGTTGGCAGTGGCCGCAGGCAGCGGCGCTGCTGAGCGAGATGGTGGTCGTGCAGCTGGAGCCCAACATCAACGCCTACAGCGGCCTGAAAAGCGCGTGCGAGAAGAACAGGCGTTGGCAGCGACAGCAAACAAAGGCGCTGCTGAGCGAGATGGTGGTCGTGCAGCTGGAGCCCAGAATCATCCCCTGCAGCGCCCTGATCAGCGAGTGCGAGAAGAGCAGGCGCTGGCAGCGCCAGCAGGCAATGGCGCTGCCGAGCGAGATGGCGGCAGCGAAGCTGATGCCCAACATCAACACTTAGGGCGCCATGACCAGCGCGTGCGAGAAGATCAGGCGTTCGCTGCGGCCGCTGTCCTCGAGGAGCTGCGCGCAACGTCGCCCTCGCGGTGTTGGCGCCCAGTGACCCCGCGGCGGACGTTGCGAACGGCCGCCTTGCCAGGGTGGCGATCCTCGGCACGTTCTCCCTGGACTGCCGGATTGGCTCCGCCCAGGGCAATGGGGCGCTGTGCCCTGGATCCCCGCTGCGCGCCTTCAAGTTCGAGAGTGAGCAGGGCGTTCAGGACCCCATCGGGCCTTTGGGGCCCCGCTGGCTGCGCAGCGGGCGGCAGCGCGGAGAATCTCGCTCACCAGTGGCAGGCAGAGCTGAAGAACGGCCGCGTGATCACGCTGGCGACCTTGGGCTACATCACGCCTGACATCGCTGAAAAGCTGCCCAAGTCGCTTTCGGACGACCTGGAGTTCGCGGACATCCCGCGCGGGTTCGTTGCGCCCCCGGAGGCCCCTGCCGCTGCCTGGGCGCAGATCGCGGCGCCTGGCGCTGACGCGAGAGATCTCGATACTCACGACGACATCTCGGAACATAGCAGCAGCAGCAGCAGCAACATGCCACCCCCCGCTTCGTTGACAGATGATGACGTCCCAAAGGGTAACCGATCGTTGTCTGACGAGGGCGTTCCAGTGAGGAATCGAGAGGCGGTTGCTTGCAGCGACCAGTGCGCAGCTCCCCCCCCCCCCCTCCCCCCCCCTTCAGCAGCACCAGCGGGGCAGAGGAAAGGAGTGGGGGGTCGCGGCGGAGACGGCGGAGGCAGCGGAAGCCGCGGAGCGCCCCCCTCAGAGCAATCAGCCCGTCAGCAGCCCTCTGGGAGCGCCACGCGCCCAGCAGGGGGGCCACGGAGCAACCATCCAAGGGCAGGACAGCGAAGCCATTCGCTGGCTCGTCGGGAGAAACCACTTCGCGCCTATTCGCCCCCCTTCCCCCGTCAGCGAGCTCCTTGCGGGCGACGAACCCCAGGCGCCCTCGCCAGGCGCCCAGGGCACCACTGGCAAAGCAGCTCGCGCCCCGGCTATGGAAGCCGCGCCGCCGAGCGCGCGCTCGCCTGGCACAACCAGCGGTACCCAAGAGACCTGAGAGAGTCCTGCGCTGTCCAAAGGGGACGTACCCGGGAGCGACGGCGGGCACAGGCTCGAAGGCGAACGCCAGCGAAAGGTGCCCTTCCCCACATGCCACGAGGCCGCGTCTGCCCTGGCCGACGGACGCGATCCGACCCCAGCCTGGCGGCCAACCATGCGGCTTGCATCTCCCCGCAAAACCATGCCAGGCGCGCAGCTGGAGCAGTTGCGAGCAGATCGCGAGCCCCCCAGCCAGGACAACGAGGCCGGCACCGCGGAGACTTGCGGCCATGATACACGGCGGCACCAGAGGCCCGACCCGCGTCAATGGCCAGAGCCCAAGGGCCCCGACACGGGGCAACAGCTGTACAAAACAAGAATCAACAACATCCAGTGGGACGTCCCCGGGGAGACACCCGGCGAGGCGATGCGACGACTCCAAGTCACACTGGGGCCAATGTTCACTGGCACCTGGCACGCTGTCGCCGAGCGGCAGTCTGTACCCGGCAGCAAGGGCGCGCTCGACCCGCTTCGGCGCGACCCGCAAACCTGCCGCCTCTTCCTGGAATTCTTCCGCAGCCACGAGTGCGACGTACGGGTCCTCAGCGACGCGCTGGGCCTTGACGTCGACTGGGCTCGGCCGTGGCAGCTGCGCCTGGGTCGGAGCGGAGGCGTGGGCAGTGATCACCACGCGGCAAAGGGCCACCCGAACAAACAGGCCCCTCAGAAGCGCAAGAAACAGTGGTGGCCGTCTCCCTACAGTAGCCTTGCTACCCCCCTCGTGGCATCGCACTCGCGGGGATCTGGTGCGTGGAGGGCGGTCGCTGGCAGCAGGCCCGTCGCTGTCCTGCTGAGAATGTGTCTCGCGGCGGTTAGCTGCGCCCCCCTCATGCGCAGATGTTCCGGGCGTGCAGCTGCTACCATGTCATTTGGATGTCCAATCATAGATGGGGCTCTTGCAGACGCACTCTGCTGGCTCACACTTTGTAAACGGCATCGCACTCGTGGGGATCAGGTGCGAGGAGGATGGTCTCTGGCAGCGGGCCCGTTGCTGCCCGGCGCATCCTGCGACGCGTCTCGACTTCTTGGAGGGCGAAGGAGGGGGTCTGCAACAGGGGGTCTTCAATGGGGGCTGAATGGTCCATTTATGCTCAATATATCGCTCATGCATGTGATCGGGTACGATTGGCATCCAATGTTGGCGGTCATTGAGGGCCAGTCGTTCGTGCCCGCGCGTTGCCCGCGCGGGCACACGCGCCGTCCATCCATTTTCGTTCATGCGTGCGGGCGTTATTGCATATTGCGCGTGGGGCGGCGAAGTGGAGTGCAAGTGTATCTTGATTGTGCGATTGATGATCGCGTATGTCCCCAAACGATGACTTCTGGACCCCCACGACAGATTTGGAATGGGTCCCGCGCTTCTCCCACAATATGAGTTCACATTTCCCCTTTTCCCAATATGTGAATTCACATTTTCCTCTCTCCCAAAATGTGAATTCACATTCTGGCCCCTTCTTAAAGAACCCTACAAACAATTCAAAATATGGGTTCACATTTCCCTTGTTTGCCAAAGTGTGAATTCACATTTTCCTTTTTTCCCAGAGTGTGAATTCACATTTCGTTTTTCCCCAAACTGTGAATTCACATTTTGCCCTGGCCTTCAAGATCCCCAAAACTGAGACGCACTGTTCCGCATGTCAGATTGGCTGGGCAGATTTCGACACTCTCCTGATTTCACGTTGCTTTCGTCGTTTTTCCCGAGCCCCCCGCCCCCTTGCTTCCTTTCCCCTTCAAGTCTCGCGCATGGGTGCAGGCGGGGGGCTTCAATTGGTTCCCCCGCCGAACACAGCAATCGAGGATGTTTCGCCCATTCATTGCCCATAAAGACATCATTGCCGGGACCTTGCGCCCGACCCCTATTGTCATCTTCCAAATTTATAATTAGATCCGGATGACTCCTCGCCGGTGTGGCCCCCTTCCGATCCCCTCCCGAGTTTTCCCCTGGTCACCCTGCCCCTTCAGCTCCTGCTGCTGCTGCTGCTGCTGCAGGTGCTGCCCATCCGCTACCGCCCAGAATGCATACGACTTCGAATTTCCGATTGCGCATAACACCGTAGGGGTCCTGTGGGGGGGGGTCCAGGTCCGCTGCGACGCCCATCAGCGGATGGAGAAGACATCGGCGCAATGGTGAGGGCTTTCGCGCGGGGGGTAGGATGTCGAAACGGCGCACGCGTGCCCAGCTTGGTCCTTCTTCCCCCCCCTCTCCCCCCTCCCCCCTTCCCGATCCTCTTCGCGCCTCACTGCCCCATCCTCCTTCCGATCCTCCTTCCCTCCTCGCCCCCGCTCCTCCCCATCCCTCCCCTCCCTCGCAGTCCTCCCCGCTCCTCACTGCTCGTCCTCAGAATCTGCCCCCCAGACCTTTCCCATTCAGCGCTCTCCAGCCAGAACCTCGAGGCGGGTCAAGCCGTGGCCATGAAGGCGCCCTAGGCGTCCAGTAAGCCCCCCCCCCAAAAAAAACAATAATCGGCGGAAAGCGCGCGTAGCGTCGTGATCCCTTAGTCGGGAAAATAACAAGGGGGAGTGGGAGGGGTTTGGCCTCGCCAGCCCCAGATTACGGAAAGCACGCGTAGCGTCGCGATCCAATGGTCGGTAGAAGTGGGAAGTGGGAGTGTGACGGGGTTGGCCTCCAATGTTCGGTCATGTTCGGCCCTGGACGGCTGGGGTCAAGAGCGCCCAAGCTACCGCCACGACAGCCTCAGGGAGGCCCAAGAGGGCCCCAGGACGGCCCGACAGCGCTCAAAGAGGGCCCGAGATGGCCTCAAGACTGCCAGAGAGGTCCTCAAGACGCTCCAGGAGGCCTCCAAAAGGAAGCACACGAGGCAAAACTAGTCCCATGATTGTGGGATGTAAGGTGCTTCTTTAGCACATGTGCTTCCTTGGTCTTCGCGACGTTCACGACGGCCCAAGTGGCCTCGAGGATCGCCCCAAGACCTTACAAGAGGCCTCAAGACGGCCCAACACGGCCCAAGAGGACTCTTCCGTAGCCATTCTGTTTCAAGGCATTTGCCAATCCACACATCAATTTATCTATAACCACTTGTCATTCCTACGTGCCTTCTTTCGTTCAGCCTGCAAGGATGCCAGCGACTGGGAAGGCGCAAAGTATTGCAGGTGTGTTGGCGATTTTCTTGCAGGGAGTCCCCACCGCGACTTCCATGGCTATGAACGTGGAAGATGGCGTCCATCGCGACGTCTTCCAGCACAACACCTCGCGCACGATTGCCTATATGCAGTCAGCTTTTCAGTATTACCTGGCATTGGACATTACGGCCCAGAGCAACGAATTCTTGTACGACGGCGCCGCATGGGAACAGACCGCTCCATACACAGATCCCTCGGGAAACAGGGTGCTGGCGCCCTTCTTCAGTACCGATGCTGTTGGCGTAAGAGTCGAGATGAACGGACAGAGCCATGACTTCTTTCTCGAGAACTCGGACTTGGGTAAGTCCTTGCACACGCTTGTCACAGGGACCCCTGTGTTGCAAACCCCGTGTTCAGGTGCCAATTCTAACAAGCCTTACGCTTACGCTATGGTGCAAACCTCGACTGCGCATTCGGACTTGTGGGGCGTTGTTGCCACTAACTCTCTTGAGCCGTTTTATTGTACTAATGTTGACAGGTTGAGTTTCAACGCGCACAGGATGTCGGTGAAATTTCGTATCGGAATTCTGCGCGATGAAGAAGCGTGCTGTTGTTGCCCTGGATCAGCCGACGGTATTGGGATTCACTCTGTGTCAAGTGGAGTGCACGAGCATGGAAGCAACAGTGTGTTCTACGCTTCCAAGGTATACGTGATCACACAGATAACGCCGAGCCTGGCTGATGTGCACGTCGATTTATCTGGTGGCAATGGTGGCGCGTCTGGCCAGTCTGTATACACAGCTCCAGACGGGACAGTCGTATCGTCGTCGGCCCCCACGTACACCAATTCGAATTATTATTATTTGGGGTACCTATTCGACGGAAGTGATTCTCACGAACCATCTGGATGCAGCAGCAATGATGTACACACTTGCTATTGGGTAACGGATAACGGTCAGACTGCTGCTATCCAGACACTGAGCATTACCCTGAGCGAGGTCAAGTTTATCAGTCGCATACGCGTGCACATGCCAGCATTAATTGAGCGCCGAAGCAACTACCGCATCGAGGTTGCGTCAACTGAGCTTGGTACGCTCAACGACCGCTCTGGAGGCTATGTCGACGTTTCTGGATGGACGGAAGACTTGCTGGACACCTACATCATGGAAGAGGTCAAAGTTGTGCAGATCTCTTTACAGCCACACTATTTTTACAGCAAGTACTCTGCCTTCCTCGACGAAGTTGAGCTTTTCGAGATCCCACCGACTCCATCGCCAACATCGGCTCTGATCTGGGCGATTGGGAGCTGCGGGCAGAGCTGCGACAGCGTGTGCTCGGGGATGGGTGGGACGTGCGACTCAGCTGCTAATGCTCAGATCAGGTCCTGCCAGTCTTTCTTGGGCACGTTGGCTTCCGCAGGTATCACGTGGCATACAACTTTGTCTTGCAACGGCGACGGCGGGGGGTCGTACGAAGGGATGCCCGCACTGAGCGATACTGGAGGTGTTACGTGGTGGACCGGCGGGTCCAATACATTTTGTAATTCAGTCAGATTTGATGTACATCGCCCAATGTGTTCGTGCACAGGAGCCAGTGTGGCGCCTCCGACCTCTTATTCTCCTTGCTACCCGACCCCCTACCCGACTGCCTACCCGTCGCCCTTCCCGACCCTTTACCCGACTGCCTACCCGTCGCCCTTCCCGACTGCCTACCCGTCGCCCTTCCCGACCCTTTACCCGACTGCCTACCCGTCGCCTTTCCCGACTGCCTACCCGTCGCCCTTCCCGACCCTTTACCCGACTGCCTACCCGTCGCCTTTCCCGACTGCCTACCCGTCGCCTTTCCCGACCCTTTACCCGACTGCCTACCCGTCGCCCTTCCCGACGTCCTTCCCGACACCCAGCCCGACGCACCTTCCGACGCCCAATCCGACAAGCAATCCGACGAGTAGCCCGACCTCGTCCCCGACTCCGAGCCCGACGCAGGTGGTGGCGCCACCGCCCACGGGCATGACGGTCGCGGGCGTCGGCGATCCGCACCTCGTCAACACGTACGGCCAGAAGTTCGACCTCTTCCAGGCTGGGCACCACACGCTGATCAAAATCCCCAGGTGGGCGCGGCAGCGGACCAATTTCCTTGTGCAGGCGATCGCGAGTCGTGCCGGAGCTGGCTGCGCCGACTTGTATTTCACGGAGGTCAACATCAGTGGCAGTTGGACTCGGCGTCACAGGGCGGCGGACCTGCGCTGGGCTGCCGAGGTCGCCAGGCCAGGCAAGGCGAAGTGGATGAAGTTCCATGGCGGAATCAGCGTCAAGATCGTCCACGGCCACACGGTGCAGAGCACGAGGTATCTCAACATCCTCGTGAAGGGGCTGGGCAGGGTGGAAGGGCCAGTGGGCGGACTCCTCGGCGGGGACGACCACACAGCGGCCGCCACTCCAGACAAGGGCTGCAAGAAGCTTGTGAGCCTATGAACCAGGCAGTCGGGTAGTTTTTGTTACGTCTCTCGCATGCAGGCCATATGGCCGGTGCTTGGGCGCGGAGGCGCGGTGTTCGCGCAGCGCACCAGTAGATAATACATCCGTGTGCTGCAGATCCTGGAGAGGGGGGCGGACGACGCTGATGACGACGACGACGAGAGAGAACAATGACGAGGACCCAAGTGGAAGAGCCTCTCACACACCCCGACGGGGCCCGGTATTTCGCATTGCGAATTCGTGCTGGAGGTCTTGGGGTGAGTTATTTTGTAGTGAGGGCTGCATGTGTGTGCTTGTCCGATCTGGCCACACAGTTCCCCTGAGCGACTCATTCCTTTCCTTGCTGATTGCTCTCCGGAGCAGCACTGTGGCAGGATACGTTTTGTTTGAGACAGCTGCCGCCGAAGCCGGGGTCTCGGCCGGTCTTATTCGCCGTGGCTTTGCACAGTGCGCGCTGGCTGCCCGCGGCCAGCGCGCAGAGGGAAGGGATGAGGAACAGGGGGGGGATTAAGTCGGCCTGTCCTTCTACAGGAGGAATATTCAACATTAGTTTAGAACTAGTCCGGGGACCATCTTTTGAGTATTTTCGGATATTTTTTGAAACTGTTCGGGCTTTTTGAACATTTCGCTCAAAGTCCCCCTGTAGGAGGACAGGCCCGACCTGAGGCCAGCGCGCACAGGGAAGGGATGGGGAACAGGAGGGGAATGAGGAAGTGGAATATTTGTTAAGATATGTTTAGATCTTCTTTTGAGTATTTTTTGAATGTTTTTTATGGTTCGTCGAGAATCCCTTCTGTGGTGGGACGCGCCCAACTTAAGGGAAGGGATGAGGAGCAGGAGGAGAAGGAGGTGGCGGACGGCTCCTGGGCATCACGCAATTCAGCAGCCGTGCTGATCGCCAGGCTGGACGACCGACGTGGGCACGGAAAGAATGGGCACAAAGACAGACAGCACTTCTTGTTCATTTTGGACAGGATTCGCTGTCGGCGTCGCCGCGGGTTGTGTCTATTTGGGACAGAAGGCCGCCTGCCAAACAGCGGCCGCCGTTAAGTCGGGACAACGTTTGCTGTCGGGCATTGTGCCCATTCTTTCCGTGCCCACTTCGGGCGTCCCAAATCAGGAGAGTCCCGCTTTTCGTTTTGGCCCACCGACATTCGTCTCCTGTCCTTCTGCGCCCTGCGCTGGAGCTGGCCACGTGGCGCCCATCGCCTTGATGGCGCTTGGCCGACTCACCTTTGCCCTTGCCCAGTACCGAGCAACACGCGGAGTCGTAGCGAGTGGGCTGGCACTGCCCGGGGTTTTGAAACTCTTTTCCCCGACGGGCACGGCAGTGTCAGCTATGTTGCAGGCGGACCCGATTTCGCAAGGGATGGTCAGCTCTTCGCCCAGACAAGACAACAACTAACCAATCTGAGTACCATGCCTCCTTCTCTCCCGACCCTGTCTGGAAGATATCCCGCCCTCGTCGCGTGCTGATCTTCTTTATGGGATGCCGGACGCGGTCGTTCTTCATATTTTGGCTTTACTATTGGAGCGTGTTCGGTGCTTCAAAATGGCACGTTCGCTACAGTGTTGTTGGTCCTTTTGGAGGGTCGGCGCTTTGCTTCTGTCGTTCAGAATGGCGCTCTCGCCACACATGTATTGGAGGGTGAAAGAGGGGGTCTGCAACAGGGGGTCTTCAATGGGGGCTGAATGGCCCTTGTATGCTCAATATATCGCTCATGCATGTGATCGGGTACGATTGGCATCCAATGTTGGCGGTCATTGACGGCCAGTCGTTCGTGCCCGCGCGTTGCCCGCGCGGGCACACGCGCCGTCCATCCATTTTCGTTCATGCGTGCGGGCGTTCTTGCACATTGCGCGTGGGGCGGTGAAGTGGAGTTCAAGCGTGTCTTGATTGTGCGATTGATGATCGCGTATGCCCCCAAACGATAACTTCTGGACCCCCACGACAGATTTGGAATGGGCCCCGCGCTTCTCCCACGTGAATTCACATTTCCCTTTTTCCCAAAATGTGAATTCACATTTTCATCTTTCCCAACATGTGAATTCACATTCTGGCCCCTTCTTAAAGAACCCAACAACAAATTCAAAATGTGAATTCACATTTCCCTTGTTTTCCAAAGTGTGAATTCACATTTTCCTTTTTCCCAGAATGTGAATCCACATTTCGCTTGTCCCCAAAATGTGAATTCACATTTTGCCCTGGCCTTCGATATCCCCAAAACTGAGACGCACTGTTCCGCATGTCAGATTGGCTGGGCAGATTTCGACACTCTCCTGATTTCGTTTGTTCCGGCCTTTTCTGTTTGCGCCCTCACCGCACGTTGCTTTCGTCGTTTTTCCCGAACCCCCCGCCCCCTTGCTTCCTTTCCCCTCAAGTCGCGCGCATGGGTGCAGGCGGGGGGCTTCAATTGGTTCCCCCGCCGAACACAGCAATCGAGGATGCATCGTCCATTCATGGCCCATAAAGACATCATTGCCAGGACCCTGCGCCCGACCCTTATTTTCACCCTCCAAGACTGTTGTTTCGCTCGGAACATATACTTTTTCATCTTGGCTGTTGTCTACGTGCTGCGTGTGTGGTTTTACCGTCGACCTATTCTTGGTTCTGACGTGCTATTGTCGGACGTGCCGTGCGTCTCCATGGAATATACCATCCCTGCACCTTTCCACCCCCGGCCGCGTACCTGTGTTCAGCGGTTTCTGGCTGCGCCCCCCCCTGCAGGAGGCCGGGGAGGAACAACCATGGACCGTTGGACAGGAGGTACTAGGCAGAAGTGTGGACTCAGCGACTGCAGCGTGAATGATGGCCCGTTGCTGCCCGGCGCATCCTGCGACGTGTCTCGACTTCTTGGAGGGCGAAGGAGGGGGTCTGCAACAGGGGGTCTTCAATGGGGGCTGAATGGGCCATTTATGCTCAATATATCGCTCATGCGTGTGATCGGGTACGATTGGCATCCAATGTTTGCGGTCATTGAGGGCCAATCGTTCGTGCCCGCGCGTTGCCCGCGCGGGCACGCGCGCCGTCCATCCATTTTCGTTCATGCGTGCGGCCGTTCTTGCATATTGCGCGCGGGGCGGTGAACTGGAGTTCAAGCGTGTCTTGATTGTGCGATTGATGATCGCGTATGCCCCCAAACGATGACGTCTGGACCCCCACGACAGATTTGGAATGGGCCCCGCGCTTCTCCCACAATGTGAATTCACATTCCCCCTTTTTTCCCAAAATGTGAATTCACATTTTCATCTTTCCCAACATGTGAATTCACATTCTGGCCCCTTCTTAAAGAACCCAAGAACAAATTCAAAATGTGAGTTCACATTTCCCTTGTTTTCCAAAGTGTGAATTCACATTTTCCTTTTTCCCACAATGTGAATTCACATGTCGCTTTTCCCCAAAATGTGAATTCACATTTTGCCCTGGCCTTCGAGATCCCCAAAACTGAGACGCACTGTTCCGCATGTCAGATTGGCTGGGCAGATTTCGACACTCTCCTGATTTCGTTTGTTCCAGCCTTTTCTGTTTGCGCCCTCACCGCACGTTGCTTTCGTCGTTTTTCCCGAGCCCCCCGCCCCCTTGCTTCCTTTCCCCTCAAGTCTCGCGCATGGGTGCAGGCGGGGGGCTTCAATTGGCATTGCCAGGACCCTGCGCCCGACCCTTATTTTCACCCTCCAAGACTTTTGTTTCGCTCGGAACTTCTACTTTTTCATCTTGGTTGTTGTCTACATGCTGCGCGTGTGGCTATACCGTCGACATCAGTATTTTTCTCCTCTGTCTGCGTGCTGCGCTTGTGGCTATACCGTGGGCAGTCTGTATTTCTACTCTGAGATCCACCTTCTCTGTTGGTTACGAGTTGTACACCGTACTCATCAGCGCGATTGGGGGTCTCATACATTCTCTCTCTTGGTTCTGACGTGCTGTTGTCGGACGTGCCGTGCGTCTCCATGGAATATACCATCCCTGCAGCTTTCCACCCCCAGCCGCGTACCTGTGTTCAGCGGTTTTTGGCTGCGCCCCCCCCTGCAGGAGGCCGGGGAGGAACAACCATGGACCGTTGGACAGGAGGTACTATGCAGAAGTGTGGACTCAGCGACTGCAGTGTGAATGATGGCGTGTCCCGCGGGTTCTCCTGTGGCTTGCATTGGGCGCCGGGTTCCCTGGGGGGCCGCCGCTGGTCCTGGGTCCGCCCTCTGTGGCCATGATACTCTTGCATCCCGTTTCTGTCGGCCAGCGGTGACGGAGCGCCACCCTCTCCAGCGCGGTCCGCTTGGGCCGGCGCAGTGCCGGGATGTCCCTGCAGCTTCCACCCCCCGCCGCGTACCTGTGTTCAGCGGCTTTTGGCTGCTCCCGCCCCCCCCCCTGCAGGAGGCCGCGGGGAACAACAGTGGACCGTTTGACATGAGGTACAGTGCAGAAGTGTGGACTCAGCGGATGCAGTGGGAACGGACCGCGTGTCCCGCGGGCTCTCTTGTGGCTTGCATTTTGGCGCCGGGCTCCCTGGGGGGCCCGCTGGTCCTGGGTCCGCCCTCTGTGGCTCCGGTACTCTTGCATCCCGTTTCTGTCGGTCAGCGGTGGCGGTGGCACCGCCGTCTTCAGCGTAGTCCACATGTGCCGGCGCACTGCCGGGATGTCCCTGCGGCCTCCTCCCCCCGCCGCGTACCTGTGTTCTGCGGCTTTTGGCTGCGCCCCCCCCCTGCAGGAGGCCGAGGAGGAACAGCAATGGACCGTTGGACAGTAGGTTCTGTGTAGGGTGCCCTGAGGCCCTGCTGCAGGTTCCACCCAGCCCCCAGAGGCCGAGAACGAGGCTCCCGTAGGGAACCTTGAGGCGTCCGTGGACGAGGTATCTGGAGAGAATCAACACGTGTCCATGGAATTGGACGGCGCTGGCCACCCACCAAAGGGGCAGGCCACCAGCCCCCCCTTGCAGCGGCGGGTGCTTCACCTCGGCGACCGCCAGGCGTCGATGGACGAACGGGTTCCGAGCAGACAGCCCCGCTCCTGAGGGCCGTCCTACCCTCCTCCTCCTTCCTCCTCCTCCTCCTCCTCCTCCTCCTCCTCCTCCCCCTCCTCCTCCTCCTCCTCCTCCTCCTCCTCCTCCTCCTCCTCCTCCTCCTCCTCCTCATTCATTCACAATGTCTCTGCGGCTTTTGGCTGCGCCCCCCCCTTGCGAA